CTAAAACAAGCAGCTGTTCGATGACCTCACATCAGATTTGCACACAACTCTAACAAGAGGTGCATTTGAAAGAGTAAAAACTAAAACTTTCTTTTAAACATGAATTTAATGAAATGCTGATTATGATCCATCAGATTCTCTGTGTTTTAATGAGCTGAGACACTGATCACTTCAAAAACCTAAACTTTATTAATCCAGTAGCTCGTTCACAGTCTTACTGATGGCAGCGTTCATTCAGGCCTTTAACACAGTTTACTTTAGTCTGTGTTACTGTGTGTGTTTAACCTCTTTATAGTTTTATCTTCCTTCTTAAAATCAGCTGCTCTGATGTCTCCATGTTTCTGATTGGTCAGATGTTGCTCCCGCCTCTTTCGTGTGAACACACGGGCAACGAAGGGGTTAACTTAGCGAGCTGGTGAAAAGCTTCATGCTAATGCTGATGTCAGGTTCAGTGAGTCCACACAGGACTGTGGTTTAGGAAACTCAGGCTTTAACCCTGAACGCTTCAGTTCCTGTGCAGGTGATCAGAGGAATCAGAAACCCAACATCATCACTGAAACCATGAACCAGGACTCACTGTGCCAACAGAGCAGAGCCTCAAATTTAATCCAGCAACATGAGAATAGTGTGAGGTTAAGAACGCCTCAGTGAATCCTGTGCAATGCAAACATGGATCAAACAGATAAATTCTAATTTACACACAAACCTTTGATTTCCATTTTCAGACTCAGAAACTGAACACAGTTTAGTTCATGCTCATGACGTCCAGCTCAACCACAGAAAGCAGATCAGCTGATCACTTAGACGAGACCTCAGATATCATATTAGCCGATCTCATATAGAGCTGTTAGTGTCTCCTGCCCACAACCCTCCACCACAGCTTCTGATGAAATAAATGTGTCTGTCTGTTCTGTGCAGCACGATTCACTCACATCATCCTGACATGATGGAGGTTATGGCACGAATGTTCTTTTCTATAGTTTATATACAAGACTAGAGTTAAAGAAACAGTTCAGTAAAGAGAAGTTTGTTCAGAGAGTCACTGACTGTGAAAACTGATAAAAAGTTTAAGTAAAAAACTCAGTTTCACAAAACTTTTCTTCAGACTTTCAGAGACAAAAGAGAGAAATCAACATTTGCACAGTTTAGACTGAAACTCACCTTCAGCAACAACAACTTCAAACTGTTGGTATGAAACTGATGATGGAGATTCAGCCACAGCACAGCTGTACTGTCCAGCATCAGACATGATCAGCTGTGTGATGCTCAC